GGGGGGGTGTGGAGAGGGGGAGGGAGAGTTAAGATTATGTACAGTTTCAGCCAACATATTTGCATCCTAATTAGTGCAAATAACTAACAACTTAACCTGTGTTGCACACGATTTAATCTATAACTTCATAAATAATTGATGGTTCATTTACGGTATGCACTACCCAGTATTCAATTTCACCAAAATAAGCATGGGTCTACCAACATATATCAATCCTAGAGGTCAGATATTCAAATATCCTGCATTGTTGAGTTAAAAGAAAAATCTCATCATTTAATTCAATGATTTTGTGTTATTTTAATTGGTACACAACATATGATCAAACTTCCAGTAATCTTTTTGTATTGAAACTAAAAATTTTATTGTGAGTGCTGGTGGCCGTATCCTTTAAAATGATAGCAACTTTTTCTCTGTTTTGGTGTTATAATTTCGTTTGGGGAGGAGGGGTTTAGACATTTGTGCTCAATTGAAGGTGTTTCTTTAACAAGGTCTAGAATAGTATATTTCTTACTTCTTTCTTGTAGTTTAAAAGTTGACTTAGGTTCCTGTGAAACTATCTCATATGATTTCAATTCCACATCCCTATCATGTTTGCTAAAAAAATTAAATGAGTTGCACTTTTCATTTATTTTTCTCAGGTTTCTGCAGGGTAATTACTTTAGTGGGTTCATTCCCAATGAATTGGGCAATCTTTCGGCACTTAAAAATTTGTAAGTTCTAATTTATTTTTTCCTGTAATCTTTTACAGTCAGATATTTATTATTTCTTGTAGTTTGACGAACTAACAATCATTAGAAAATCGTTTTGGAATTACAATGCAATCACAATACGTCGAACAGTTCACTGTCCAAGAACTGACAACCATATTATCACGCCAACACCAACTATAGTTTTGTAGGACCCGTCAGCTGACCTCTCGGAGTCTCCCATGTCATTGTCACCACTTCCATCCTCATAATGTTTAGTGTATTCAAAATATCATTTTATGGGCATTTCAATGTCTATGATTTGCACGTGATGGCTATACACATTCATGCACACAGACGCTAACATCTATGCCTTCCACGCATGAAAGCATTATTATGAGTAACTTATTGCTATTAATCTGTTAGGAATTGTTCTTCTTTTGGAATAATCTCGTCTTCAATCTTATTTTGGAATTTTTTTTTTCAAAAAAAAAAAAAAAAAAAAAAAAAATCGCAGAGATATTTCAAGTAACTCGCTCGGTGGAAATATTCCCATCTCGCTTGGGAACTTGAGCAAGCTTACTACCCTGTAAGCAGTCTTTCTTCCTTTTCTTTATTCCAGTGCTTGGTATAAATTTTTTATTTTTTTATTTTTTTATCGACTGACTTCCTGCTTCAAATATATTAAGTCTGATATCTATAATTTTGGATTTGATCGGTCATTTTGAAGAAATATGTCTGCCAATTTTCTGGTTGGATCAATACCGAATGTTGGAGTGCTAATCAACTTCTCGGAAAGCTCGTAAGTGCTCTCTGAAGATCTATGATATTTTATTTAAACTAATGAGATGCGTAATATGGTTTTGAAGTAGCTGCCAGTCCTGGTAAATCATATAGGAAACACTATTAATGAATAAACTTAATTCATCTAATTATATGGGTGCACATGGTCATATTTTGAAAAGGAAGTTCATTGGATATATTTTGGAGTTAGATTTATTATTAGATTATTCAATTCATTGTTTAACATTTGGTATATGTATGACCATGGAAACGTTCCAAAAGACCTATATAAGGATCATATATGTAGAGATTTCAATATCATCAAATTAAATAAAAAAAAACGAAGAACTTGAGAAGAGAATACATCTCTTCCTTCGAAAAAACAGATTTGAGTGTTGAGAGAACTCTGCCCCTTTCCATAAAAATTTTAGGTTGCTCCAACAAACACTACATCTGAAGGGCTTTGTAATGAATTAATTTGTTAATGCAGGTAAGCCTTCACCATTAATTCATTTATAATTGATTCACTAATCAAATTTTAGATTTCTTGGAAACCGTGGCTTGTGCGGGAAGCAAATAAATGTTATGTGCAAAGATGACAAAGAGACACCTGGAACAAATGATTCACCATTCTCAGGTTAACTTACACTTGATTTTTTCTGCCATAATGCAAATATTTCTTTTTATTTTATTGAGATTCCTTTCCCTTGGAAACTTGATGTAGTGAGCCTTTGTCATAAGGGAATATTTAGTCCTTTATCGTCCGTTTGATTTATTATGTTTCTAGGATTGTGAAGTTCTTATTGAACTCAACATCAAGACTACTTATCAGAGTAACTCTGTCCTGACTTTCATGAGGTATATTTTGATGGGAGTTCAAATTTTTGTAGTGCAAAATCAATTTGTAAGGAAGAAGTACTCTGGCCGACTACTTATAAGTGCTTCGGCAACTGTGGGTGCTTTACTGCTGGTTGCCCTAATGTGTTTCTGGGGTTGTTTTCTGTATAAAAAGTTCGGAAAAAATGACAGTAAAGGTCTAGTGCTGGACGTTTGTGGAGGTACTTATCCATTGTTTCCTCCCCACCAGTTAAATCATTTATTTGAGCTTTTCTTGTGTTGGCTTTGCTTTGAAGGATTACCTGGTTCTAAATGTCATTTAATACCGTCTTGCTACTTCAGGTGCTTCGGGTGTAATGTTTCACGGAGACTTGCCATACTCATCTAAAGATATTATTAAGAAATTTGAGACACTGAATGAAGAACACATAATAGGATGTGGGGGCTTTGGAACCGTATACAAGCTTGCAATGGATGATGGCAATGTTTTTGCCTTGAAAAGAATCATGAAATTGAATGAAGGCTTTGATCGTTTCTTTGAGAGAGAGCTCGAAATACTTGGAAGCATGAAGCACAGGTTCCTTGTGAATTTGCGAGGATATTGCAATTCTCCTACATCAAAGCTGTTAATTTATGATTTCCTTCCTGGAGGCAGCCTTGATGAGGCACTACACGGTAAGATTCCTGATGTATCATTTCTATGCTTCATTCTTTTCGAGTGCACTTCGTATCATGCCAAAAGATACTGAAGTAGGTAGTTGGATAGCTGCTCATAGCTGTTAGTTGCCTGTTACTTCTGGAGACCTTATTCTTTTACCACATTTTCCTCCGTCCTGCAAGCAACTAGCAAGTCTAGTAATATGTTAGAATTCATCCATGTTCTAGATTTTTGTTTCTGTTTGTGACATACATTCTAGACCCAAAGGTATCCCATAGTGGGGTAAACATAATTAAACATAGTCCATTTTGATTACTTGAAGAAGGATAGTATCGTCAAAACCCAAGCACTCCGAGTTGTAGGCCACCGCAGGCTGTAGAAGAAGAAAATTATTCACCAATCGGCAATAAGGCCTTCTCTTAAAACTGTACCTACGATATTTTATAATCCAAATATGATTTAATAAATTATATATGTGGAAAATGATAGGTGCAATTCTTGATACAGTAGGGGAACAGAAAAGGACTTGTGTGTGTGATTCTTGTTACTTTACTCTGCGTACAACGAGAATGTAAATACAACATGCTTGAAATTTTGAGGAAGGAAAGAGAGGCTGAAAGGGAATGTACAGCCATATATAATTAGAGAAAATTATTCCAACTATGATTTAAGGTATCCTATATGTGGAAAATGATCAGGTGTCCGTACTGAAGTATCTGAGCAACTAGACTGGGATGCACGCTTAAATATTATCATGGGAGCTGCAAAGGGACTTGCATATTTGCATCATGATTGCTCACCACGGATCATTCACCGAGACATAAAATCAAGCAACATTTTACTTGATGCTAATTTGGAGGCTAGAGTTTCTGATTTTGGACTTGCGAAGCTTTTAGCGGATGAAGAATCACATATTACAACTATTGTTGCAGGAACATTTGGTTATCTGGCTCCTGGTAAGCCATTGATAATGTGATTCTTTTTTAGGTTTAAAACAATTGTTCTTTACTGATACATATATTGAACTAGAAAAATAAACTATTTTCTGACTTAAAATATGTATATGCTAATCTTTATGAGCAGAGTACATGCAAAGTGGTAGAGCTACTGAAAAGACTGATGTGTACAGTTTTGGGGTATTGGTACTTGAAGTATTGAGTGGCAAACGTCCCACCGATGCATCATTCATTGAAAAGGGGCTAAACATCGTTGGTTGGGTATGCTTCTTTCCTCCTGAATTTTATAGATTCTTTCTTTTTAATTCTGTAATAAATTCTGTGTTATGCTTTTGTGCGGCCTGATACCATTTGTAACAAATATGAACCTACTACTAGCAAATATTATCCGCTTTGACCCGTTATATATCGCGGTCAGCTTCACAATTTTAAAACGCGTCTATTAGAGAGAGATTTTTATACTTTTATGAGAAATGTTTTGTTCTCCTCTCCAACCCATGTGGGATCTAACAATTCACCCTTTAGGAGCCCAGTGTCCTTGTTGGCACACCGCTCAGTGTTCTGCTCTGATAACATTTGTAGCAGCTCAAGCCCACGCTAACAAATATTGTACTTTTTGGGGGTTTTCCTCAAGGTTTTTAAAATGCGTAGGGAGAGATTTCTATACCCTTGTAAAGAATGATCCGTTCCCTCTTCAACTGACGTGGGATCTCACAATAGAAATAAGCCAACCTTTCCTCTCCTTACCTCACTACTAAGAGCTAAGTACAAAAGGTTACTAAAAACCTAGCCTCCCTAGATCTATCTTTCTAGTTCTCCTTGCCACTCGTCGATTTGTCTTAAATTCTGAGCGCTCAAACTATATCTAACCATTGGCAATTACTCAATAGACATGCACTTTGTACTCAAGATATGTCCATATCAAAAGGCTCTTCTAACCCATACATTTCCCTTTTCAGTTAAACTTTCTAGTTACAGAGAGCCGACAACGAGAAATCATTGATGTACAGTGCGAGGGAATGCGAACAGAAAGCCTCGACGCATTAGTTGCGGTCGCGATCCAATGCGTTTCGTCGAGTCCAGAAGAACGCCCCACCATGCACAGGGTGGTCCAGATATTGGAGTCTGAGGTTATGACTCCATGCCCAAGTGATTTCTATGATACAGATTAATAAGCTGTTGTATAAGTAGAAGAGAAGACAGGCATGGCAGCCAATGGAAGGGCGCATATAACGTTCAAAGAAGCTGTTGAATCAGAGCCAAAAAGGATTCAAGGTTCGCTCCTCTATTTGATTCTCTTCTCTAGTTCTTTCTGAAAATTCATCATTTATCACCCAATCTGCTGCTCTGCTTGCTTTTGTGATTGAGCTTTAATGGAGTTCATCAGTAACCGTTTCAAAGAGGATTCAAAACACTCCCATTTGCTGTTTCTCTAACCAACTGCTTCCCAATTTGCGTCGCTTGGTGCATTGGATCAATGGATCTCGTATGTAAATTAAATTCCACGTCAGTTTTTTTTTTTTTTTTTTTCCTTTTTTAATTTGCTTTCTTTGTAATTTTTCTGTGGCTTTGGACTCTAAATTAAGTGTACATGATTGGTTTTCAATCAGTTTTGTAACATTTTATTTTCTGTAAGAATTCCCGTACAATACCCACATTAGTATTTTTGGTTTATTTCCCATTAATCAACCCATAAGCTTGATCTTGGGGAGCAACCACTGCAATATGTGACGAGCGAGGAAGATTATCGCAACGCCCTCCAACACGAGCGACATATTACCACAACTGTAGATGCTTTGATAATGTGCGCTATCGAACTAGAGAATGGGACATCCTCATCCTCACCATTTATTTCAATTTCCACAACAAAATTTTCTATTTATTTTTGCTGAGATAAAGGTGTGAAAAATAAAAGATGCATGCAATAATATTCTAGATTTGATTGATATTTGATTTGCTTCCGTACAAAGGGCTATGGCTACTCTCCAACTGATGTGCAATCTAATGTGGTATCAAAGCTAGACACCAAGTGGTGTACGCTAACGAGGACGTTAGCCTTCAAGGAAGTAGATTGTAAGATCCCATATCAATTGGAGAGGGAACGAAGCATTTCTTGTAAAGGTGTGGAAATTTCTCCCTAGCAAACACATTTTAAAATAGTAAAACTAACAGAACAAACAATATCTGCTAGTAGTGGGCTTGAACTGCTACATTAGCTATCCTTTTTTTTTCCTTCAGACATCTCGTTATCATAAACTAATTTTAATAACCTAAATATATATAAAAAAGGAAATTGGTCCATTTGACAAGTTTGGTTTTATTTTCAAAGATAAAATTACATCACAAATGTGGAGAGGTATCTTAATTATTGTGCTTAGAAAAGGCTTAAACCAACTACTTACCCAATTTCAAATAATAATAATAATAAGTGAAGATGAAGTATGCTAAGTGAAGATCAATATTTAAAATCCAAACCATATATATGCCCTTACATCTCCTTCCCTCATATCTTTGAATAAGACACTTAAATCCATTTATTATTGTTAGTAGCTAACAACAATCCATTTTCGGTATTCATTATTAAATTTTCAGGATGCATCATCACATCACGTATGTATCAATGTAGACATCAAACTAACAAGTTAACTTGAACGGATTTTTTAGTACAAGAAATATAAGAGTATATGGATTTAAATCTCCAACCTTAAAGAAAGAAGTGAAATCAATTAAGGTTGAACTATACTCAGTATTGACGTGTAATCAGTGAAGGCATGATAACATCAACCAAAAAGTTCAAATCTTCTCATCCGGACATTTTATATTGGAATTAAAAAAGAAAATCTCAACCAAATGGTAACTAAGGTTTAAGCTAACTCGAATATGAAGATTTAACCTGCAATGGCAAAAAAAAAAAAAAAAAAGTTTCTAGGAAAACTTCAAGGGCCAGACAGAAAATCCAAAAAGGACCTAAATGACAGAACTATGAAGTTTTCAAGATCTAAACGGAATAAAATAAAAGTATTCAAACACAAGTTTTTTTTACAATTTTTTCATAATGGGATTTGTTTTATCATGTTCTTTAAGACAAGAAATATTGCCAAATGGTAAACTTACTATCAATGATAAAGAGGAACACAAGAACAAAGAAAAGATATCAAACAATTCAATAATTGAAGAGTGGGACAGTTAGGCATGACCTGTGTTCTTTTGGGAAGAGAGATTTGAGATTCAGCTATAACAGATAGCATGTGCAGAAAAGCAAACCATGCAATTCAAGTAGTCCCCTTGATTCGATGGATTATCCATGGCTTACCTTTGGATCACACCAAGTACAATTTCAAAATCATTATCAATCTATCAATCGAACAAATAATAATATCAAGAATTGATACAGAGTAAATTCAGAATCTCAAATACAGACTAAACAATAATAATAATATATTAACAACATTTACTTCATCTTCGGCACATTTAAGAAAAAATGAAAACAGTTGGTTTTGAACATGATAGATATCACAAATGAACACTGGCAGCCGCAAGGTATATGAATAAAATGTAATGAGGAGGGAGCTTCATGGGGATTTAGAACAAGATAAAGATTGAGAAGTTGATTGTACTTGCAATAACTCGCTCGCCGATACCTTTTCTTGCTTCTCGACGTATGCGGAGGGAAACCATCCAGCTTTTCCCTTGCATTCTCCTTCCGACCATCCGTTAGGCCACACCTGATAAAGCATCGAGAAGCATTTATAGAAAGTATAAATTTTAGTATTTCTCCTTTTGATTGAAAAATATGTGTTAAAGTCGTACCTGATGAAGCGTGACATAATCGTCAATGGATAAGCTTAACTCCCCTTCTGCCTGAGCCTCAAATGGGTGGATAACCTGCAAGATGACATTGTCTGTAATAAAAACTAAAAGCAGCATGACTACAGAATGCATAATAAGTACTCAGCCACAAGATTCAAAACACCAGCGACGATGAGAAAATATGACATGGCTATGAAGAATACAAAATATTGTACAAACACAAATGATTCTAAGATCTCAAAGATGAACGACCTTATATATGTCATAAATTTATCCTTTCCTCCCCCCTCAAGCATTTGCATTCGTGTCGAACTGTCAGCAAAACCAAATGTTCAACTTTGTGTCCCATATCCCCTTCCGAACACATTGTTTCACACAGGGTTTAACATAATCTAGGAAGTAGAAGGATGCTCCTTGCAGAGACTTTGTACTAGACACTGGAATAATCCCAATATTCTCACATGTTATTTATTACTCATGGATCTGAATTTTAGTTCCTCTTTTTATTTAGGATGTGGCAATGGTGGATTATGCATGAACAAGACCCCCAAAAAGATGAGACAGCTTACTTTTGCAATAATGTAGTCCTTGTTTTCATTAAGAAGCCTCTGAGAATCAGACTCATTCGACTTCGTATCTTTGAATTCAGATGTTTGATCATGTTCTTCTCCATTTCTAATTGGTGATTGTGACAAAGACCCATCTGACTGCGTCAGCAGAATTAACTGGCCTCCAATAATAAACAATCAAAGAAACTATGCCGTCATAATATTTCTTACATAAACAGGAAATACGAAAATGGTAAACGTAAAATGGATTCTGTCGGAATGCAAGCAAATGTAAGAAGATAAGAGGCAGTTCTTTTTCAATACGAATTGCGAGTCAGCCACTGAGGAAAGTAACCAACCTCATCATTCAGCCTTTCTAAATTAGTAAGGGCATGCTGGTGGTAAGATCTCTCAGCGTCCACCTACAAAATGAATTTACCACAACATGCTTTTAAGTAGATTTCTCACTGAATCCCTGTGCAGACAAATAATCCAAATAATAAGGTTTGGAATAGCATGATAGATTGGATAAGAGTATAAAATGTAGCAATACCATAGTACGAAGTCTTTCATAAGTTACTTGTTGCTGTTGGGCCTCAACCGATTGCATAGCAGTGGTTGCTTCTTTACCTAGAACCATCATTGTTGATTTAAGTTCAGATAATCTTGCTTCTGCATTTTGAAGCCTCATGGCACTCTCGGCTGAAACAGAAGAGTCCCTTGACTTAGCTCGGCGTCTCAAAACTTCGGCTGCCTAGAGAGAATATATTCAATTCACTAAAACTCCTTAGCAGCATACATTTATCTTTGAACTTGAGATCAAGTATTACCTGGATTTCCACTTCTTGTCGCAGTTTATCGTAGCGGTGAGTTAAATGACGGGCATCCTCCAGAGGTGCCCCTGTTATTTGTGCCCGTAGAGGTTCACATACCTGAAGTTTATACCTGCATCACAATTAGAAACATAACAAAGAAAATAGAAAAAGGATAACACTAGATGCCCAAGAATTGTGTACAATTTAATATTTCTTCATTGTAAGTCGTCAAATATATTTGAGTTCGTCACAGAAATTCAGCACGAATCACTACTAATCACCCTAATCGACCAAAATTCTGCATAACCAAACAGGAGAGAATTACCTGATCACCCAGGATTCCAAGTAAAGCTTCCCTCTCTTCTTCAATTGAATTATGGGATGTACTGAAATTATGAACAGCTGTTGCAAGGGCAGGACAGCTATTTTGGTCATTGGCTCCATATTTGCTACAATCATCAGCTAATCTTCTCACTGGATATTTAAAAATGTTTTGAGTACATACATATAGTGAATACATCCTCGTACGAGAAGAAGCTAAATGCATGGTAGAAAGAAAAACTTCAAGCGGGAAAAGAGAAAGATGGCAAAACTAAAAACGAAAACATAATCCTCACCGATCGCCATTTGCTTTGAGCTCACAGAAATAAAGCCTTCAACGCCTCGAACAATACTCTTCTGGAAATGCTACCGAATGCAATCATTTCACATTGTCAATAATTGGTTAGAATAACATTAATGCCTTTTCTGATAAGATTATTTGGGTTGAGAGAAATCACGAAGAAACCAAGCACATCAGAACGAAGCAAACTAAACCCCGCAAGCTTAAACATAATTATAGATACATAACTTCTAATTCACGGTGCATTTAAAATTCAATCCTTGAATCACATTATCTTGAATTCGTAAATAAATATCATACGGAAAAGAAAAAGAAAAATCACCGAGACTATACCTTAGTTGCCCTGGTGGAATTGTAAAGATTCTGAAGCTGCTGACTGCACTGAGTTTCAGCTTCATCAGCCAGGATCGATTCCGTGCCGAAATGCCCTAATTTTATCATCAAGGCCTGCAAAACAACAAACATAAAGCGACGAAGACAAAAACACCAGTTGAACTCCACTAAGAAGGAGAGATAAAATCACAAAAACAGTCGAGAATTCAGAAATATTTCCAAAGAAAGACTAGAATGAAAGCGAAAGTAACCTGTTGCTGCTTCGCAACCTGTTCCCTGAATCTGCTGGCTTGCTTCCGAATAGCCTCCATACTTCAAACTCCTAAAACAAACGCGATTCCACTCGATCAACTCATACTCAATTCTCACGGAAAATCAGAAGGCAGTCTCATCAAATAAACTTGATCATAAGACAAAACAATGTTCTGATCCCAACAAAAACACGAAGAACGCAGCAGAACAGAGTGAACTGGAAACTGTACGAGATCTTCAAGACGATTAGCAACAAAAAAATGAAAAAGGAAGATGATCAAATCAAGCTCATCCTCTCGTTGAACCGATTTTTTTCTGTTAATTTGACGTTGAATGATTGAGAACAGAAGATGAAGACGAAAACAGGGAGGAAAATTGGAAGTGGGAGATGAAAACGAAGAAACACTGGAAAATGCGACCGACTTTTACGGCAATTGCTTTCGACGGCGAAAAAGCGCTTTTGCAATCGCACGTGACTTCCATGTGGACATCCCTTACCTGTCTTCCTTCTGATTGGTTTATTCTTTTTAATAAATGTACTAAATTTCCCTAATCCTTTTATTAAAAAATTATTAATTTAATTTTAAATATTTTAAATATTCCAACTCAACGTATTAAAATTCCATTTTGTAACCTATAACTCAATTTATTAAAATATTTATATATTTATATTTTCAATTGGATGTAAAAGCTCACGTAAAATATAGTGAAACCGTACAACTGTAGTTGCCTTTCAGGTACTTCTCTTATGCTTGCCATTCAACTCTGCTCCTATAACATGCTTTCTTTGAGCCAACGAATACGATTGACTGAAACTGGAGTCCCGTGAGAGATTTTGTAGTTCCCTAAGAGCATATTTAATCAAGCACATGACTTAGCCTCGTACCGAGCTTAAGAAACAATTTTTATGCTGATTAACTCGGTTTATCATCTTGTTTGAAACTTATATTACTACTTTATTACAAAAATTGGGTGTAATCAACTAGAGTTGAGAGCTATATTTTTTAAAAAATTTAATAATATATATATATATATTATTAGTACAAGAAAACACGAATGCAAATTATATCATATTTTAAATAAAATTTAATGAAAGAAAATATATGAGTTGTCAGAGGGACCCGTTGAGTTTATTCAAAGTATTCAATGATTTCCGCTGTCGGCAGGCAAGTCATTCAAATGTTTTTTTTTTTTTTTTTTTTTTTTCCTTTTTAATATTAATATAGTGATTTTTTAAAAATATTTTCACTCATATTTATTTATATATATATATTTAAAATATTTAATTAGTTTTTCAATTTATTTTTTTTTTCCTTATACGTTCAATGAAATTTAAAATGTAAATATAATATAAGATCCATTGTTGAATTTTTAATTTATGCATGGATCTAAAACTAAATTTTACTGAAATAGTTCTCGTTGCTCCTTGAAGGGGGATAGACAAGAGGCTGTGTGCTAGTAAGAACGCTAGGCCCCGAAAGGGAGACGGATTTGGTGGTGGTTCCACTTCGGTTGGAGAAAGGAACTAGTGCCAGAGATGACGCTGGCCCCAAAGAGAGGTAGATTGTGATGTATTACATTGGTCGAGGAGGAGAACGAAATACTTGAAAACGTTCTCTTAACATACGCGTTTTAAACTGTTGAGAAAAATCCAAAATGAAAAATTCAAATAAGACTTTGAAGTTTTACAAAACAACTTAGAGATCCCAGTTTTTTTTTTTTTTTTTTTTTTTTGTTTATAATTTTAGTTGAAATAAATAAATTAATATAATGACTAAAATAAGTTAAAAGGTAAAATTGAAGAATCAAATATAATATTGGAGACAAAAGTATATAAGTACAAAAGACAATTTAAAAAAATATATAATAATAAAAATAAGTACAAAAGTAAAGATAAATAATAATAATAGTAATGAGTGGGTTTTTTTTTTTTTTTTGTCACAAAATTGCATTATTCCATTTAATCAGTGCAAATTCTTATTAAAATTAATAATAATAAAAAAAACTCCAATTTTATATTTATCTCAAAAATACTTCTTAATTTTAAAAATTTTCGATAATTCCTCACAATTTTCAGAAAAAAAATTAAAAATACCCATGAACTTAAAAAAAAATTAAAAATACCCATGAACTTAAAAAAAAATTAAAAATACCCATGAACTTAAAAAAAAATACCCATTAATTTTGGACAAATGTTATTAATATTTTGTTTAGAAAATATTTCCAAAGAAATTAAAAAATACCATTTAATTTTCAAAAGTATTTTAAAAATAGCCTTTCAATTTTAAAAAATGTAAGTGATACTTTTAAACTTTTTTTAAAAAAAATTCAAAAACACCTTCAAAATTTCTTTAAAAACTTTAAAATTGATCTTATTGATGTACCATGTTTCAAAAGTACTAATAAATTTTCAAAGGTAATAATAATACGGGAGATAATCTAATATATATATATATATTATAAAGGATAAGGGTGTTCCTACCTTTAAAATTGCATTGATATCTTTTTAACATAGCATTAACGATAAGTTTAAGGCTATTTTTTTAGACAAAGTACAAAGTTTATAAATATTTTATTAATTATGCCTTTATTTCATCATCTTTAAATGGTTAAACAGCTCCATCCTTTGAACATACTAAAACTCTAAGTGGTGGAGAGTCGATGGCTAAATCAAACTCATAAAAATAGTCTCAAACCTCGTCACTTATTTAAAAAATACTTAAATTGAGTCTCGTTAATAATATTAAATTTTTAAAAAAATTTAAAATATCCCGCTAATTTTAATAGAAATGTTAGCACTAAAATTCAAAAATACCCTTCGAACTTATAAATTTTTTTAGTAATACCTTTAAATTTAAAAATACAAAAATATAATGATTGAAAATTGGAAAAGAAGTAATTTGATAATAAATTAAGTATTTTTGTTTAGAAATTTATTTTATTTATATTTTAAAATGGTTAGAAATGAGAAAATTCTTTATTTTAAAAACCAACTCGATTCATTGTGAAGCTAACATAATTTGTAGTTAAATATATTTATAACCAAGTAGTAGATAGAAGTCGTTATCATTTGTCAATAATAGAAAACAAAGATCAATTACTCAAGCGTATGAGTAAGGGCATGTTTGGAAAATGTCATATCTACAAAAGAAAAATAAAAATAATAATCATATCAAATTACATTATTTATTGTTATAATCAAACTTATTGAAATTATATAATGTATGTGAATGTGTGAGCGTAAGACAGACAACAATAAGCTACACCTTCTAGTGATTGACTCAATCATAGAAACTTCACGATTACACATGCTATGTTGGGGGATCTCTTGAGGATTTTTCTATGATGCATATGAGTGAACAAAGCATGCTAAAACTCACTCGTTAGTTTATGGGGGATAATTTTCACTCTTAGAAGAAACATTCTGGTATAATTTGTGTTAGCTTATGGAGATAGGTTTCACTCTTACCAGAAGAAAGCTGGAAGGATTCGTGTTGGTTTGTGGGAATAGACTCTTAAAAGCAAGAAGAAGTAACAATAATGTAACACAAAATATGCAAGAAAATATCACGGATCAATTCTAAATTTCAAATCTTAATCCAAATTACAGATATGGGTATGATATAATCTTATATATATATATATATATATATATATATAGAAGTTCCCAATGGGAAATGCAATATGCTTGAAATGGAATCTTGGAAAGTGTTATATAGTACGATGTTAACCGGCCTCTTCAATAGGAGGTGCCCACACTCGTTAAATAAAATAACCAAAAAAACATGAACAGGGGCAAAATTGTCAATTTATTACATAATTCAAATAATTCCACTTTTAATTAGCCCTTTAGTTTACCAGTCTAAATTAAGATTGACTGCACATAAAATTTATTTCTTTTTATTTTTTATTTTTTAAATAATTAAATAGAAACTTAATATTAACACATTTAAAACTTGATAAGCTATAAAGAACGGTTTAACCTCAATAACACTCTAAACATGTATTAACTATTTAAAAAAATCATGAATTACCTAATAATCACGGTTGGACGATGAAGGTCGGTTTAACCTCAATAACACTCTAAACATGTATTAACTATTTAAAAAAATCATGAATTACTTAATAATCACGGTTGGACGATGAAGGTCCCACATCGGTTAATTTAGGGAATGATCATGAGTTTATAATCAATAATACTCTCTTCGTTGAGATGAGGTCTTTTGGGGAATCCCAAAACAAACCCATGAGAGCTTATGCTCAAAGTGGACAATATCATATCATTATAGAGAGTCATGTTCATCTAACATGTTATCAGAGTCATGCCCCTAAACTTAATCATGTCAATAGAATCCTCAAAAGCATAGTAAAAAATGACTAAAACTTCAAAAAAAAAAAAAAAAAGAGTCGATTAAGGAGAAATGTTGGATGAATGTCTCACATCGGCTAATTTAAGAAATGATCATGGGTTTATAATCAAGAAATACTCTCTCGAGGCCTTTTGGGGAAGCCTAAAACAAAACCATGAGAGCTTAGGCTTAAAGTAGCCGTGTTCATCTAACAAAATCGACCAAACAAAGGACAGAAATAAAAACCTCATGAGGGAGGAAAGAGAGGCAACGGATCAATTCCAATGGTTGAAAGAGGATAGACTCTTCACCCCCTCAAATGGGTCCGAACATTACCAGATCTTAGTGCTCTCATGGTCGGTTTTGTTCATTTCCTCCATGTCAGATTTTTCACTCCCCTTCCTTCATTTTGCAGGTAAAGTCTCTCCTTTTCTCACTCGGCTGTGTGATGTGTGTAGGTAAAGTCTTAATTTTTTTAATATATATATATATAACAATTAACCAACATAATTTTTTAAAAATCAAAAATCAAAATCAAAAGAGTTATCAAACGAAAAGTGGTTTTCCAAACGTTACGAAAGATAAAACTGCCAGAGAGGAAAACTGTAACGGCCCAGATCCACCACTAGTAAATATTGTCTTTTTTGGGTTTTCCCCCTCAAGGCTTTAAAACGTGTCTGATAGGGAAAGGTTTCCACCCCTTTCTAAATGGTGGTTTGTTTTCCTCCCCAACCAATGTGGGACATCACAAAAACGATAGCAATTTTAAAAAAAAAAATAAAAAAAAAAAATTAAATGATTATCAACAGCATTCAACAATAAACGGAGTAGCTAATCCACTAACCTTTTATTTGAATTAAATGCAGTCATTGATTATAACAATGCTCATCTAATATTTGTCCATTATAATTGATAACCCAAAAAGATTATACAAAAAAAACAACAAAAAAAAAAAAAAAAATGCTCAGATTGTCTAGAAATATCAGTGAAAAAAACTTTATGATGCACCAAGAAGTAAAACCAGAAATAGAATTGACAGTTACCATGTTCTAGAACAATCTATTTTCATACGATCATCACTTGAAGAGATGGATTGAACTACAAAAACAAAAATATATGTACGTTGTATAGCATACGTCAAGCAAAAGATTCTTATAAGAGTTATCTTGACAACGAAATATAATCGTGTTAGGTGATTCTCTTGTGAGCAAAGTCTAAGTCGTGTACAAATTAGTCCGAACAATCAGGATCTGTGTATATATAAAAGACCAATCAGCGTATAACTTGTGATAGAGAACTTACCTAGAGCCCATAGTTTTCACCAAGCTTGATGGTTGAGAAAGACAGCACAAGGAGACAGCAAAATGTGGTCCAATTTTCACATGTTCAAGTACTATAGAGGCCCATCAAAATGTGAAAGAACGTTCCTTCAATCCCCAAAGTTCTGCTATAAAAGCATTCAGAAAAGCTTCACCACCTCAGTAGAATTCATAAAGAAAAGAAAAGGGAAAAAGGATCCCTCCCCTAAGTTTTCTCTGGCTTTCTTCCGTTAATGTCTGTTTCCATCCAAGTTCTAGGCTTAAAAAGCCTTCAGAAGCAAGAGAAAAAGTGCCATAGGAGAGAGATTTTAGAGAGAGAAGGAATTGGTCATTTCAGCATTTCCCAACATGGGCATCATGAGAGTGAGCAGCCTGCAGATGGCAAGGGAAGAAGAAGGGAGAAGAAGCAGGGACGAAGAAGAAAGACGACTCAGTTTGGAGCTGCTAGACAAGTTCTTCAATGGAACATGTGGTACTTTACCTCAACAATCAGCTATATTTTAAGGAAGGCCAAAGCCTTTTACAATGAGTGTTGCTGTGATGCTTATGAAGATGAGAGGATGAAGAGAGTTGAAGTGGCTATGGTTGATCCTTATTTCTCAATGCCTGTTTTTCCTTATACTACTATGGCTAATTGTATGTAAATGATATCAAGGTAGAAGAATGAGTGATGGAGCTAAGGTCATGTGTGTTTGTACCAAGTTATGTGTGTCTAGGCTTAGAAGAATGTATGGGTCCACTTTGAAACTTTTTTGAAAACAAAAGAACCATTTCTTTTTGTTTTCAACATTTTATTGAAGAATTGTGATCTGGTGGCTAGTAAAAGTTGCTATAATTATTGTGCACTAGAAATTGTTATTTGTAAAGCTATTGATTTTGGAAGCCTAGAAGAGAAGTAACAGCTCAAGTAAAAGAAATAAGAGAAACTATTAAAAGGTGGTTAGCTAAACATGTTTCTACTAAGACATTCTGGACGTTTTAATTTATATTTAGACGGCGAATTTAAAATAAACACGGATTAAACTTCAATGTTGTAGCAGTGAAAAATGAGGATTGTTGGGAGTGAGTCCCACGTTGGCTAATTAAGGAGATGATCATGGGTTTGTAAGTAAGGAATACATATCTATTGCTAGAGGTCTTTTGGGGAAACCAAAAGCAAAACCACGAGAGCTTATTTTCAAAGTGGGCAATATCGTACCATTGTGGAAGTCCGTGGTTCCTAACAATAATCTCACAATAGGGTCTAATACTGAACTCGATCTTATACCTTCTAAGAGGACATGCTTCTTTGTTATTACAAAAAGAAGGCAGGGGAACGGACAAACTTGACAAATATAACATTTCCTTTCTGTAACAGCTCAAGCTCACCGCTAGCAAATATTGTCCACTTTGGCCCATTACGTATCGCCGTCAGCCTCACGGTTTTTAAAACGCATCTGGTAGGGAGAGGTTTCCACACCCTTATAAGCAATGCTTCGTTCCCCTCTCCAATCGACGTGGGATCTTACACTCTCTCACCTTCTACACTGTTTCTCTTTTCAAATTTACGACCCAATTTTTTCAGACTATTTTCACGTCTAAAATACGTTCTTTTGGTTTAAATTTGAAGGGCTCATTAATAATGCAACACTCCTAGATGGTTCTACGAAATTGTGGTGAGATTTAAGTGCTACAATAGTACGGCTTTTCAGAAGAGTACAGAAATAGTACCACGTATTTAATGTTACTGTCAATATTGATTGGGACTGAATTCAAAGATGACAAACCAAACAGAGACCAAATTATAATTTCACTTTTAAATGAAAGCAGCAGTCAATGATATGAAAGACACGAGGGACAAGATTTAAATTACCGAGTCAGTAACTTATTCCATTGTGAATTCAAATTCAGCAGCAATAGGAAGATGATCACTTGGGAAGCTATAATTGGGCAACCCACCAATAATCTCCGGCCATTCTGATTCTGGGAGTTCTAGCTAGCTAATCGGACTTGTAGAGTCAGAAGATGAAAGAAATATAAATGCAAGAGTATCAGTGAAGCCAGGAGTGAAGTATGTAAATGAAGGTTCACTCCCTAGTACAGCAGCATATACGCTATAAAGGGGCAATGGAAGTTCATGAGGAGTAGAAAGGGAAGTGTAAACATTTTTTAGACGTGTTCAGATGATGCTAAGGATATTTTTTAAGTATGATTTTATTTTAATTATGTTTTAGTTTAGCCTCCATTAATGTGTCATGGTCATAGATTTGTTTCTACTGAACTAAACGATGGTGCTTATCTCTCCTTTGTCAATATCCCATCTATTGTTCCATTTTAGCCCTTGGTCATCATCAGACTCTAGATTAATAATTTTTAGAGGTTGTGCGGGAAGAGATTGTAATTGTTGCAAGTCTAAATTAGACTTTTGTCTTTCTTATTCTTATTTGTTTTCGAAGAAACTAAATCTAAATTTGTCAACAATAGCTATGAAAACTCTAAATAAAATTATCGAAAGACTTTGAAAAAAATTATTGGTAGGTATGGAGACTCTGAAAAAAATTCTTTGGTCATGGTGGAAGAGTAAGTAGCTATCAACGCTTCGAAGAAGAGTAGGTAGCTATGAAGGCTCGGAATAAATTTGTCATCCAAATAAATTAGTCAAGGGAAAGATAGAAGGCTCTAAATAAATTTGTCAAACTGTAGCTATGAACGCTCACAATGAGAGAAGTAAGACAGTGATCATGGAGGTTGGAATGGATACGTTGCTGGGATCGTTTGCGGCTTGTGGAACGGACAGAATGATTATGGTCCATTAGTGGAACAGATTTGCAGATTGCTAGGGATTTGAGCGGTAGAGGAAGTTGGGGATTTTTGGATTTGCGATAGTTGCGAACTTTCGAATTGTAGATTTGCATGGACTAGTGATTATTTGCAGCTTGCTGGAAATAAAAGAGGCAATCTGCATTTTTTTTTTTTTTTCTTTTCTTTCCATTTTGCAATGTGCTTGAAGAGGAAGAGGATTTTTAGCAACTTCATTCAGTTGATTTGAGTGGCTGAGTCTGAGGGTCTTGTTGATGGAGGATTTTGACGGTAGCTTTGTTATGATACCATGTTGTAACTTGCTGTCTTTCTTATTTATTTTTAGGGAGGATAACAGTAAATCTAAATTAAAACACCCTAATGTTAAACCTAAAATAAATCTCTTAGGTACCAGTCAATCTAAATAATAATTCTTAGACATTAGATAATTAAATCTAAAGAGGTCAACTACTCCATAAGAAATTACACAAATATCCTTCTACCTATTCTCAGCTTGGATACTGACTTACAGCTAATCCTTCCAAACTATTTGCCTTCAACAGTAATCATACCAAACTGTTTGCCTTTATTCTTCATTTTTAAACTATGTAGTTTAATTTTTTGTAAGGAAGATTATTTGAAGTATGATCTCATGTTAAGTTGTTAACTACATAAGAGATAATTCTAACAAGAAAAAAAGGGTCATGTTTTCGGGAAAAAATTATAAGGTAAAGGTGTTCAAGATTATCTAGCCAAGCTCTACCTAATATTTCTCTACATATGTTTCTGCCATATGAGATTATGTAAAATAGTATTTCTCATGTCATCTTGTTAGCTTATGCTCATGAGCCTGTATCAATGTCACTAACAAAGAAAAAACTCATTCAAATCTAATTACAATTAAATAGTCAGAGACCATTTTTCAGGACGAGAAAAATCTATGCAAATAATAAATCAAGATAGATGACGAACCTTGTCCCCAGGGTTTGAATTGAAGTCACCAGCAAAGGTACTGAGGGTGTGCATTCAAACCTTTCAGACACTGATGTCTTGAATCGAGTTAGGCATGATAAAAGCAATTTGGCCTTGGCAAGCTTGTCATCAGCCCATTCTGGATCCGTGTAATAAATATCATTTCTTTACAAATTGGAGGGATAAGATGTTCTTCAATACAACAGGCCCTATAAGCGACTGTATAGCCTTAAACCTAGAAAATACAATTTTACTAGTAAAGATGGGCGTTTGCTACAATTACAACATGATGAAAAGGCTTCTTGAGTTTGAAAGCAGGCATAATTCCAACATAATATCCTGTGTAGTGCAACATAACTGACCTGGTAATATTTTCACAAGACTTACTGGTTTAAATTTATAGCTAATTTTATAGCCATTACCATTATATATAGATGTGTTAAACCAGATATCTGGATCCTATTGAACAGAAAAACTTAAACCACACCTGAATCCAATTTCACTGCATTGACATCTTACGAAAAAGCAATCAACCTTATCTACGGTTTACAGTTTTTATCAAATGTAGAATCCAAAATCATCAATAAGGATGAATTATATTCAATAATTTTAAAAGTATACAAACAAGTTATAATAGTAGAATCCCAAATCATCAATAAGGATGAATTATATTCAATGTGTTTAGAAATGTCCTATCGCTAATATTCTATTACATTTTTGCTACGGCAATCCACTTTTGCTTATATATTCCTAACCCGAACAAGATGTTTTGCAGCAAACAACATTATTGAACGGAAAGAAACATAAAACTAAACTTAAGAATGAAGAATGAAGAATGAAATGAATCGGAAATGTGTTGCCTACCTGGCTAAAATATTGTAAGAAACAAAACGAAATCTGATACCTGCAGTAGCAATATAGAAAGCCGTGCTTAGATGATGAGTGAAGTCATATAAAACCCCTATATTGTTTCTCAATTTTCAGTAATAAGAACGTCTGAAAGTTCTTTATTTGTTTTGAAAATCATTTCAAATTGTTCAAGTTTGGTCGAATGATAAAAATGAACAAGTCTAATATAGCCAAATGGACAAATCCAGAGCAAGAAAACACGAACATAGATTTCCCTTCCATCAAAACGAGGGGGAAAAACATACCATCAGGTTTACTTCTAGAGTAAATGTCAGCCCCTTCCTCGGAAATAAACTTAGGATGCTTTGGTGATTGTACTGTACTCATGTTACGTATGATATTTCTGGCAGTAGAGAACGCAAAAAGAAGAAAAATGAGCCAGAGCAAATAACAATTCAAAACGATTCCCCAAAAAGGCATCTTAAACATAAATCACAACGTTTTCAAATCATGGATTGTTCCACATTCTTGTTAATTTGATCCATAAATCTCACGGTATTGAAAATTAACGACACCGTCCTCGATTGAGTCGACTCCATAAAAATAAAATGCTACTTGACTTACACAATTCAATCGAAACAGATATATGAACAACTCCAGAAGCAATAACCTTACTCTGATCATTTCACTTTCACGTCCTTCAACCAATGATTAAGAGTACAAACAAGAAGAACGCTATTATTTTCGTCATCACATCGATGCAACACTCATCGAACGCAAAAACAAAATCTACCATGTTAAGCTTCCAAAAAAACCTTAAATCGGTGCGTCAATCCGCGACGCCTTCGGATGCGGACATAGTCGAAGAAGGATTCAAGAACAATACTAGAATCAATTCATTTCAATAACATAGTCCAAAAATTAGATTGTAGCTTCAGAAAAAGAGATCACATTACCAGCTTAGATAGCGGGAGAGAGAAGGAAGCTGCAACTGCGAGCCATAATAGCTTTCAGCCGCGGAAAATCGTTAAATATGTAAATGCAAAATCGACCGATTCGATGGCGCGGTGGGAGCTGAAACAGTAACAGAGCGGTTTTCACTCTTGTGTTTTACGGCACAGTAAAAACTAAAAGGAATAGTAAAACTCAAAAGTATATTTTTAACCTATATTAAATATATATATTTATTTAATTTTTTTTTTTTTTATTAATTGTTAACTTTAAAATAAATATTTTTTTAAGAAAGAATAGTAAATGAGTAAAAATTAATACAAAATTATATGGACCCGTTTAATACAATTTTTTTAAAAAAATTATATGTGGTATCCTAGTCCCGATCCCCGTAAAAATAAATAGAAAATTTTGTTGGGATGTGGACGGTGAAAGCTTCTCTGTCTCCACCCTGCCTTAGGGACATCTCTACCTTTATTAATACAAAAAATATATCAATCAACAATTATGCTCACTTAAGCATAGTAGAGTTCGGAAGATAATTTGATCCCAAAACGTGTTACGTTACAAGTCAAATTTTAAAAACTAAATGGTTTACTATGCTACAAGTGTGCATATAGATATATTAGGGATAGAAACTATAAATATGCTGTGCTTTTTAAACTTTACTAACAAATGTCAATATACAATAAGTTCAAACTATGCTTTCTGATTCCCAGAGGAACAAATTTTGATTTCAATCACTGGATAATTGGTGGCTTCATGTACAACAACAAAATGCAACTGCCAATGTGCTTCAAAAGCCTATGCTCACTTGTTTCCAGAAGAAACACTATTACAAACCTCTTTGCCAATGCGTCCTGTTCGGTTTCTGCTCGGAGTTGCGGTCGGAGAGTTTCCTTTTAACTTTTCTGGCTGAGAATGCCATATTCGGACTGTTTTGAGGGATCGATGAGCGGCTGCCATGCATGGAGAGTGGCCATTTGATCGTTACGAAAGTTCGACAGATTCATTCCTGGAAAACAACATGTTGGTGTAGGTGAATTGGGGTTGCACAGAGCATCCTCTTGCAGAACATCTACAATTCTGGTCAGTATGCTGTATGCCAGGTTTCCGAGCACCCGGGAATACGCTTCGAGTATCAAATGTCCAACATCCTATAAGATCAAAGAGAAACTGGTATGATTTCTGATTCTAGTATGCCAACAAGAACAGAACTTCCAACTCTAGCATTGTTTATCAAGATTGGAAAGCCAATGTACAATGAAACATGAGAATTCTCTGTATAATGCAGTTTTGTTCCAGAAAGGGAAATGGTTCTGCTCAAAGCGTTCAATCCACATTTTTATGTCTTCCCTTTTTCCCCTAAATTGGAAAGCTATTGTGAAATCTCACCCTTGGTTGGATAGGGGAACAAAGCACTCTTTATAAGAGTGTGGATACTTCTCCCAAGTAGACGATCCGTACGGCTGACGCCGATATGTAACAGGCCAAACTAGACAATATTTACTAATAGTGGGTTTGGGCTGTTACAAATGGTATCAAAGCTAGACACTGGATCGTGTGTCAGAGAGGACATTATGCCCCTAAGGGGCCATTGTGAGATCCCACATCGGTTGGAGAGGGGAATGAAACATTTTTTATAAGACTGAAACCTCTTTCTAATAGACGCGGTTTAAAACTTTGAGGGGAATCCCAAAAAGGACAATATCTACTAACGGTGCGCTTTGACCGTTAAAGTTGTGCTTTCAGGTAATAACAACTTATCGTATTTGAAACTACGATATCGACAAAGATCTCAATGTTACAAACTACTAATCTAAATAAGAAAAAAGAATGAGAACCACGTTTTTATTTAGACAGGAAGTAAAACATAATCACACGAGTTCGACCGATTGACTCGACGACAAGTAATGAATGCGAAAAGAACTAAGACAAGTACCTTCCCATCTTGGATTTTTGAAACATCAAGAAACGTTTGAGGATGATTTGGATATTTCGATTTGAGTAGCTGTAGAAGAAGCTCTGCTCGATCAGAGAGTAATTTCAACTTATCCTTCTCAGCCATTGGGTCCTTCACAAAAGGCCAAGCAGTTCGAACTGGAGATTTATTGCCATTTTGTTCAGTGTATTTCTCTTTCAAGGAGAATATTGCAGCTTCCAAGCGGTTAATGGCCTCAAGAGCTCCGTGGTCAGATTTCAGATGAAGCTGATTCAACATGTTCTCAGCTGGCCCAGATTCTGATGTCAAAATCTTATATAGTTCTTCAATGAGGGTTGCTTTTCCAGACTGAAAAATTCATGGTAACCAAAAGAGTTAAAAGACAAATTTGAATTGATCAGGCCCTAAATCTGCAACCTATTTATGGAATACCATAAGAAATGCATCACTTTTATAGAATACAACGTTGCACATGCAGGAGTCGAGATTTGAAACGTTAAGATATAAGAGAACTAATGTCGGTTCGAAACCACGACTCTCTACAATGGTATGATATTGTCCACTTTGAGCATAAGCCCTCTTGGCTTTACTTTTGGTTTCCCCAAAATGCCTCATACCAATGGAAACCCATGATCTACCCCTTAATTAGCCAACGTGGGACTCATTTCCCAACAATCCTCCCCTCGAACAAAGTATACCATAGAGCCTCCCTAAGACCTATGCAGCATTCAAACAGCCTCGCCTTAGTCAAGACTCGACTCTTTCTTTAGAGCCCTTGAACAAAGTATATCCTCTGTTCGACACTTGAGTCATTCTTGACTACTGTGTCTTATCCGTTCCGCTGTGTTCTCAAGTTGGGCAAAAAAAAATCATCAATTATGAAAATCTATACATGCGGCCAAACACAAACTCATCTGAAAGCCCATAATAAAAATTATGGATAAAAACTTATTCATGGTTATTAGCAAATATATTTGCATTGTATAAGAGAATAGAGAATGCTCACAGCTCGGACTGCCTCTCTTATGACAGTTGGTACGGGCATTTCACGAAGAACACTTTCATTGATGGATTTGGCAGCTTTGAATACTTGATGTACAACCCGGCCATGGTAGAGCAATTTCTTCCTCTCATTCTCAGATAGCCCAATGGATGGTACTTGCGGTATTGGAAGCCACCACCTCGTGCTTTGGCCCATACTCTTGCTTTTTCCTTCAGCCCTGCTACCTACTTCTGTATACCAAAACTCGGTCTTCACCATTGAATCCAGTGTACACTGTAATAAAGATATAGTTCAGGGAATTGAGCTTTAGTTTTAGCAATACGAGAGGGGGAAAAGTAGCAATAAATGGATGTTAATAAAACCCCCTACAATTAACATGGAATCTAACTTCTGGAGAGCGGGAAGATTCATGTGGACGTCTCCCCGAACCTTTGGAGTCATTATCTACAATAAATTTGTGCACAAAATCTCGTCAATATGAGAGATTCAAAAACATGGTTCACAGTTCTGATTGCAACTAAATCACTACTAACCTCCATCACTCTACCGCTCGAACCATTTTGCTTAGCGGGAACCAATTCCACCATATAGTGGGTAGGAGAGAGCAACCAGTCCATTTCCCTTTTCCATTTACTCTTTTTCTCCTCAGGAAGAGGTTCTAATTTCCATAATTCTCCAAAAACGGAGGCTGCAAAACTTTAACCATTACTTTGAGGTCGAAACTGGGAAATGAATGATAAGTATTGAGATATTTAAACAAAAGGGCACATTGAAATGAATAAGAAATGTAATGTATTGTTCACCCGCTAGATTTGTAATGGCATTAGACAAAGACAAGGCAGAGCTCAGCCCTTTCTGCCCTCCTGTGACATCTTCACCAAGCAATAGTTTTGTGAACTTTTCTTTCATTGCTTCCACGTCTGAAACCTGAACAGTGTAACCAGGTTTCTCTTTCATGTAAAAATGTTGAGGGCTTTCTGGTAGTTCCCATTCATCCAAGTCCTGCTCGTCCCTATGCATTGCTAACCATTTTGAGGAGGAAGAACCACAAGCATCCTTGCTTGAAGAACAGCTTGAATCATGATCCTCCAATGAGTCAGTTGTACATTCGTCTGCTCTGCTTGATCTGCTTTCATTTTCGTAGGCTTGATTGTTTAAAACGCAACTCTCAAGACCATTAAAAGTCATAATCCCTGAATTCCACGGAAAAATTATTCGTTAATGATAACTTTAGGTTGGCTTACGTTTAAGCAAACAAGAACTCGAGTAATTTATTAAAAAGATAAAAGATAAAGGCACTTGATCTTAAATATCAAAGCAGTATGATTTTAATTGCTTGTGCTCGTCATTATCCAAAATTTTTTAACTATTCATTGAACAGGTACACGTACAACAAGCACATGCAAATGCAAAAGGCTATTCTTCTTTAAATAATTTGGAGTTATAATTGCTTGCAATTATTTCATACCATTTACACAAGCTAAAGAACAAACATGATTGACAAAGTTTAACTGTTTATATCGATTTCTGAGCGATGGGGTTCACTTGTATCTGAAAATAGACAGCCCAAACGAAAGCAGAAACTTCTGCAATTATTGTTGTTTGGACCGAAATCAGATAAATACTAGCATACTGCTTCCAAGAAAGAAGAAGACATCCAGAGCTCCTCCAAAGCCAACTGGCTGAAGCACAACACAAAGTCAGTCTGTCTTTTCTGGCAATTTGGATATTTGTCTGAAGGTATATGTTTGGATGGTATTCACCCAAAAATAAAAACAAAACCAAAATATGGGGGGAGGAGGATGAAAGCAACGGAAATTAGTGGGATGAATTTGTCCTTTTCCTCTGGCATGTTGGAAGCTCAATGATCCCTAAGATTTTAAATCAATTGCCCAAGATCCACAAGTCGTACAGCCAGACATTTCTCAACTGTGTCATGTCCCCACTTGTATTTTCTTTGTCTACCTGAGCTATATTTACTAAATTATTTTTGGAAATGTACCACCCACTTCAACATGTCCTCTGAGTAAGGCAATTAGTCCCAAACGCAACGCTGTTTAATAAATAATAATAAATAATATATTCTATTCAAATTAGAATCTAGGCCGAGATTTAGGGCATCCGTTGAAGGCTGATTAAATTGGAAGCCCAGGAAATCTAAAGTCACGGATTTCTCACCCGGACACATCACCCATGTGCTTGGCACCAACAAAGTCACATGGAACAATGTCTATTATATTTGTAACAGAGCCTGGAGGGGGTCACTTAGAATCTATAACAGAACTGAAAGATTTAAATCTTTTAGCACGATTTATATGTAATAAATGCTCAAAAGAACCATGGATTAGAAAACAAAAACATTCTTTTAAGAAAAAGAAAAAATAGGAGACTAATAGAAAAGGCTCGACAATTTTTTAAAAGAAAAAAGTACAATTAAGAATAAATAATGAATTATCAGTTCTTTTTCAGCTTGTACTACGCTAAATGTACCATAGATGCCCTGAGTATACCCTATCATATCTCTCACATTTTCTAAACATGTACGAAATTTAAAAAACCATAAACCAGACGCTTATAGACGCCCTAAATCTCATATCAATGTCCAAGCGTATGAATGTCCAATAACTCAACAAATACCATTGAACTTCGTCCACTTTTCAAAAATACTCTTATTATTTAAAAATTTGCAATATTGGCCTTCAACCTTCCGTATCTGTTTCAAAAGTACCTTTGGAGTGGAAAACTTTTACAATGTGGAACAGAAAGTTGATGTTTTTTAAAATTTAATCAAGACAAGCATCTTAGTCACTGTCACTCCATTTTAGGCAATCACCACATCAGACTTTCCATCTAACATTCTAATTAATTTTTATTACAATGGTAATTTTGAAATGTTTACTTAAAGATTCAAAATAATATTGCAACTTTTGAAAAAAAATGAATATATTTTGAACAAATGATAAATTCTGAGGTTCAAATCAAGAGGCTAATTCAAATTTAGCTTAATAAGACATCTTTTTTCAAAGGTTGAAGGTTAATCTAGAAAAAATCAAATCAAAAGGAAAAAAAAAACAGCCTCCCAACAATCTATGCACAATACCAGAAACCCAGCACATTTACGGGTTTTGATGTCCTCCAGTACAATAAATACTGCGTTCAGAATCATAAATGAAGGCACCAGAATTAGCACGGGGCAAACCAATGGGTCTGTGGTAGGGCTAATAAGAGACGGGAACACTCGGCAGTAATATCTGCCTACCACACCCACTAACCCTTTTCACATGATCCAACCCCCTGGACCCATCGTTTTCCTCGAGCCCTCTTAATTTCTTTACCAAACCCTAACAAACACGTTCTTTACCCTCCACCTGGCCTACCATCGCCCCATTTCTTTTCAAATTCGCCCATAGCCTTTCTTTGCAATAAATAAATTTGAATTAAAAAAATCCTCCGTATCATGTGGACACAGTGAGCATATTTCAAACTGATATAGCTGGTCAAACCATGATTGAATAAAAAAAATGCCACGGTGATATGCGGATTTATTCCTAATTTTTCAAATTCAAAACCATGGTACTAACTTTTTGAATCATATAACAGTGAGATTTGTATCAATCAAGAATAAAGTTACTTGAGAAGCTTTTTAACGTGATACTATAATCTAGCTTAGGCCAAAAGTAGCAATAAAGATTGATTTCAATGCTTTTAAAGCCAAATGGTACTGGTGCGCAAAAGAGTAAAGGAGAGCTAAAGGCTTACTCTCTTGTTCGTCCATGTCGAGGCTGATCCCTCGGTCCCTTGTGCAGCAAGCCAGTGTTCTCCGCATCGACATCATCTTGTTATCTTCTTTGGCAACTTTGGGTTATGGAAATTACAATCTATCAGTATCACTTGAGGCTTACAGCAAACAATGTAACAAACAGATCGATGAACACGGGCCCACTACATGATTATTCATCATGAATTAGTCCTTTCAGATAGAGTAATTTGATGAAATCATGAAACGAGATGACCGTTTTGAAGAACAAATGTATATACGAAGAATAGCGTAGAAGTTTTAATTCAATCAAACCTGCATTAAACTTCCGTTGGTGTTTCAGCAATATAAGCATGATTAGCATTTGATTTGCTTTTAAAATAATAAGAACAGGAAAACGAAAAAGTCAAAAGAATCAAAAAGTAAAAGAAAGATGGAAAAGGGGGGAACGGATTATATGAATTTTTTGGGTCCAGAGAAACTGGTAGAAAATGGCTTTACCATCATGATTCAAAGAAAAACAATTGAAAAACCAGTTCTCGAAAGTTGCATTTAGGAAACTTAAGGAGCTAAACCGGAAAAGGCACGCACACAAAGCTTGGGCGCCGAGAAAGATCACGAACTTCAATATACTCACAGTACCACAAACATCATTTCCTCACCAATATCTCTCCGATTTCTGTTGCTGAAGACAAAATATTCATGAAAAATGCGACACGCATCCAAGGCAGTGTAGAAAACAAAAAAACAAAACAATCCTAGTGAATCGCGAAGTCTTAGAGAAAACAGAAGCAATAAACCAGAGATAAAAATCCTCGAATCAACCATCAGCTCTAGGATCTAGCGCAATTTAGATAAAATGCAAAAGTGAAACCAAGCAACCTGAATCCGAAAAGCCGATTTCGCAGCGGTGTTTCAAGGCGGAGCTGAAGCAGAACGTCTCTACAAACTCAACCTCAAAAGCCACGACACCAGAAGCTCCTCCGAGCCCTGAGCGAAAAGAAATGCACTGCCATTACAGAGCTTAAGAACAGTGAAAATGGCGGATGAGTTTTAGACAGAGAGGGTTAAGAAGGAGAGGATGAAGAAGAGTGACTATTTAGAGAGAGAAAGGAAGTGCGTGGAATGGACGTGAACGTTACGTACGGTTTTTAGGCACGTGAGGTCACGCGCTAAAACTACATCTAGGCCGTCCATTGAGGTAAATCAAAGTGGGGCTAGGCGTTTGTAATTCACGCGCTTCGTATGTGGCACTAGGAAGTCTAGTTGGATTTAAAGTGGGGCCCGCAAAAATAATTTACGCGCCCCGAGCCCGCTTATTGGAATTTTTTTGGCAGTTTCTTATTCCTTTTCTTTCTTAAAAAAAATTAAATATTTATATAAAAAAATTAATCTTAAATTCTTAAAATTTTCAAAAACATTTTTAATGATTCATTTCAAAAACACTATTAATTTTTTAAAATTATTATTAATACTCTTTCAACTTTTTAAATTTAAAAAATATCCTTAAATTATTAGATAAAACAAGGACGGAGAAGAAATTCCAAATTAATTATGAAATTAATTATGAATTTGGGATATACAAATTAAAGGAGATGTGATGTTCTAACTGAAATAAATTTATTTTTCATGTGATTGTGAAATTACGAAACAAGCCATTGATGATTCCTATTAGAAATTTGAATTAAAATAATAAAGAAATTAAAGTTTTAAAAAATTTAAATTTTAAAATGACTATCACCAATCATAAGAAGTCTAAACAAGGCTTAATAAGTAATGTATTTATTGCCTTCCAGAGATGGAATGTTTGATTCATTAATTGATTTAATTAATAATGTAATCAGAAATTTATTTATTTAAAACTTTTTTATAATGCATCTGAAAATATAAAATAATAATAATAACAACAATAAAGTTTAATTATTGTATTGGTCATTAAATTTTAGAATGATTTTGTTTAAACATTTTTTTTTTTTTTTTCAGTTTAAGAAACTTGCAAAAATATAATAAGCGTGCTCAAATTTTACATCAAACGCACGAACACCACTGATTCTAGCTTGATTATCTTACAAAAAAAAATATAGTAAATATCAACGTTTTAATAGCGATTCACATAAGTCCGATCCGGATTGAGGACCTCTCACCAAAGAAAACAAACACAATTAAGAAAAAGAAAGAATGGTTGAAGAAAAGGCAATGGCATCGTGAAGATGAATGATCAAAGGATTTGGCTTTTAGAAGCTTTTCATTTTCATTCGTTCATTCATTACCCATTTGTTTAAATGCTACGAAACAAAACAAAACAAAACAAAGTAAAGTGGGCTGCCCATTTCCACTTTCTCCTCCACATGCCTTCCATATTCTGTTGAGCTTTTATAAAATCTATCAATTATTTATCTATATTTTTTAAGGAAAAAAAAAACAAAAATATTATAAAAAATAATAGAGAAGTCGAATATAAAGAGTTATTCTTCCCTCATTCCAGACAAGGTGAGACCTTGACCTGATAAGTTAAATGAACACAAGGTGAAACCTTGACCTGATAAGTTAAATGAATATCTCTAAATCGACTTATTTAAAAGTCGTTCTGATTAAGCCAATCTTCTTATGCCACCAAGCAATAAATTAACAAAATAATACAAAGCTTTGTCGAGTAATGGTTTCCTTCCCTAGCAAGTTTTTTTTTGGAAAACTTCATATATTATGGTGTGGTGTGGATGGCAACTCCAAAGTGTAGAAGCTTTGCCCCTTGCTTTACATTATGAACAGACTAAATGACTCGATTCTCCTGAAACACTAGTTAAGTTAATAAATAGTAATTTTTCCCTTTAATCAAATAAAAAAGCTTATTAATTGATTCAGGGCGCGGTCTTCCTTAGAACCTATTGAGGGAGGCCTCGGCCTGGAAAGGGGAGAGTGGCGAGCGGTCAAAAGCGACATACTATAAATCTGTTGAAGCATTATTTCTATCTACGATTATCTTAAAATAATCCAATTACTAATAGTTAGGTTCAAATATATCCGCACAATTAAGTTTCTTTTTTTTTTTATAAATGTGTCATAAGCATGAAAAAAAAAAGAGTGTTACTACTAATACTTATAGTCCCTAAACCATATGAACAAAACACAAAAGCATTAATACTCATCTTGTTGCAATCGACCCTGAAAGAGTATGGAAAAAAGAGGGCCTACATGAACAAAGATATTAATCTCCAAACAAACCACTATTAATGGTTTGATTTGTCTTAAATTTATGTCCAAATGGAATCAAGCAAGACTAACGTCATTAAAAAAAAAAAAAAAAAGAAAGAATTGAATACAATTAAAGTGGTTTAATTCGCCACTGGTTTGATTCTGTTTGGCTTTCTGATGTTTTTAGGTCAATTATAATATATCAAAGGGATTGGTTTCAAATATTTCATAAAAATAAAATAAAAGCCACCAGACTAAACCAATGAAACATCCCTTACCAGTGGCATTCAAACTGTACATACCTCGTCGAAGAGCTGTGGCCCATCTTCCAATCTGTACAAAGCTCGTCCAAGGGCCCAAGCCCAGGCCTACTCCCATGGTCCTGTGTTCGATCAAGCCACACCGTGCGTGCTCATGCAATAGTTGGCAGCTGTAGAAGAGAATATCTCCAATTATTTCGTTTTTTGTTTTCCAGAAAAGGGTTCGTAGCCAAATTTCAAGAAATACGGAAAAATAACTCAACAACTCAGGTTTGTTTTCACATGAAGTAAAGAAAAACAAACAGTTCTTACTAAGCTTTTAATAGGTTCGAGGAAACAGAACAAAACTTTAATAAGATTTCCTTTTCATCTATATATGTCATTACAGCTATTTTCTAATATTCACTTCTGAAATAAGACCGACCAAAGGCGTGTAAGTAATAACAATATATATATATATATATATATATATATATATATATATATATACAGGAGGCATTGGTGGCACATTCCACAGCATAATCAAAATAACAGCTTTTGCAACAGAGAGCGATTTGGTTCCATTATTACCCAAAACCTTCCAAGAAATGAACAGAATTTGTTAACAAATATAACAACTTCACATGCCGTAAACAGAGGAAAAAGGCTGACTTACCTTGGTTAGTTTCCACCATTTCTTATTGCCGAGATCAGAAGTTTGTTAGAAAAACTTACAATACTAAATGCAAGGGGGAGGATTGTGCACAAAATCCGACGGAAAAAACAAAATCTACAAATTCAAGCAAACCAGTTCATTGGTAAAAAGGAAAAAAAAGTATTTATATTTTCCATATAACAATCGAGTTATAATGAATTACTATTCCCAAGATGAGCAAACAGGTTAACAACGACTAAGAAAAAGATGAATAAAAAGCGTATACAGAAATTAGGACTCTCTGCAATCAACAAATAGATTCCAAGTCAAGTATTCTGAAAAGAAAATGGCCTCGACGGTTTACTAAAATGGCCATCAAAGGGAGTAACGGGTAACTACGAATTTTGCAATTAGAATAATAGTGGATAAGCATCTTGAGAAAGATGCCCAAAATAAAAGTTACTACATATAGAGAATAAAAAGTACCCTCTGAGCTCGGTCGGAAAAGAGCACTAAAAGATTCGACGACGGTGTGGTGCCAGACTGCGAAGTACTTCTATAAAGAAGATGCTAAAAGCAACAGGAGGGAGGACAAAATTTAAAAAAATATAAATATATATAGTAAAACAAGAAACAACCAAAGTGATCCGTTGTTAATGGAATTTTACTCGAAACGCATTGTGAATCCATAGAACAATTGCATAACAGAAGAATCAAGAAAGCCAATGACGCAAACGTGGACCACAGTAATCGCACTGCACAAACCATGATTTGTTCACATTGACAAAAAGCACTTTTAGTTTCTTCCATTACCATTTAATTTTCAAATCAAAGCAGGCGAGAAAAACCGTCACCGAAGTCCGAATAGAGACATCATCAAGCTATAACATAAACCGATTCCGCCAAATCAACAGTAAAAAACACACAGAAACCTTCAACGAGGTAATCAAGTATACTCTTACAAAACAATTAACTATTCTAAATACGCATTAACACAAACAACATCACGCGCAAAGATCAATAAAATCCAGACCGCTCAAGCGAATTCAAACCTTCGACTTTCGATAACGAACTAGCTCCTATGAACGATTTTTCCAGATCTTAAAATAGTAAATTACAAGAACGAAAACATCCAAACCTGGAAGAATCTGCATCCGGAAAAAGAAGCAAGATCCATGCAATCTTCATCGCAGTCTCGGATTCAGTTGATGCAAGGCGGGATCCAATTCGCGCGATTATTTCCTCTTACAGCAGAGGAAATTTAAGAGCACAAAATCAAGAAGCGAAGCAGTTCCCGACCTGCACCAAGCGAATTAGAGACCGCCGATGACTCAACTAGAAAAGGGCATAGAGAAAGAGAAATGAAAAACAATCACCACTGAGAGAGAAGAGAGAGAGAAATTGTTGGGCATTTAAGGCTTGTGAAACCCTATCGAGGAATATGGATGCTGAGTGGTGCGAAGGTTATATATATAGAAGCCATAAACGAATGATATCGTGACACGTGTCACATCGATTTTCCTTTTTGGGCTAAATTATAAAAAGGTTAAGCTATGATTTTAGTTTTATTCTCTTTTTAATTAATTTTAAAATTAGTTTACATAATTTTTATTTTAAAAAATTTCAAATAATAATAATAATTTTTTATGTAAAAAAAATAAAAAAATGGGAACTTGTTTTTAAAATTAATAAATAAAATTTTTTTGACAATAGAGACTAATTTTAACTCTTTTTAAATACAAATATAATGTAATGGAGTTTATAATATAATATCAAAATATATTTTTAATCTTATAAAAAATATTGGGTTAGAAATATTATTTTTAATCTTATAATTTATACTTTAAGAATAATTTTGCAACTTTAAAGGTAATATTAAATATTTTAAAAATAGATGTTTTTTTTATTTATTTACTTTTTTTAAATAAATAAAAATGTCTTTTTGGGATTTTAATAATTAATTTCAAACCAAGCGGGGCCTCTCTTCCGCGTGAGGAACACTAGACAAAATGGGCATGGATTTTATATTATTTACGATAATGCCGGTGAGCGTGGTAATAGTAAATGCACGTGCACCTTTTGTTTAATGACGTTTATTTTACACGTGGCGATCTGTCCTGAATTGGAAGGGAATTCGTCGTTTCGAGATTGAATATAAGAGGGAGTTGAGAACATTTTGTTCCCGTTAAATAAATGAGGTTGGAGACAGGATTATATCCTCGTTCTCGTCCCGTTTAATATAAATATATTTTCAATCCATATGAATATATATATTTCTATTTGGTAGTCCAACTATAATACTTATTGGATTAAATTATGAATTAATTTTAATTTATATAGTTTCAAATATTATAATAAATTATTTCTTTAATTTTATTTTTTAATATATTAATAAAAAATGAGAAGAGAAAATATAGATTTGATAAATATATGGAATAAGAATCATTTTGGGAGAAATGACAAGAAATTGGAAACAGCTTTGTCCAGCTAATGATAGATGATGACGTGTCCCACTCTTTTTACCTTTTTAGACTTTCTTTTTTTCTTAAAAAATACGTAATTTCATACATTTCCAACCCTACCCCTAAACTTAAAATTTTTTAATGAAATCTTTAATATTTTTAACTTTTTTTATTTAAAAACCAAGAAAATTAATAAGAGTATTAATGGATTTTTCGAAAGTTTAATATTATTTTGAAATGAAATATTAAAAGTTTTCGTATTGTCAATGGTTGCATGACAGATATCTCGGTTTTGCTTGTCTAGGACGTGTTGTCCATGGTTGCATGCTCGTTCCAAACCCCTTTTACATATTTTCATCTTAGATAGGTCTTTACCATTTCATACTGGGTCAGTACGGGATATGTGACTCGTGTCTACACCTACAAGGGCTAAAATGCCCCCAAAATGTACTATAAAGATATGATTAGTTGTCAACTTCTCCTTAGCCGAGAGTTATATAACACAAATCGTTTTCTAAAACTATCTTTTTAAATCAGGGCCAAGAATAATGTTAATGATATTCTTTTTTTTTATTATTATTAGTTTAAGGGCAAAATGGAATATTTTTAAAATTTATAATCTTTTTACACCAAACATAACATCAACAACCACACGATTTTTGACATCACTCCAATGTCAAGTATTCTAGAAGGCCTATGCAATTTATGTTTATCTTAAATATTTAGATGTTCGTAGAAGATAAAAGATTATTAAAGAATATAATTTAATTTAAACTCAATTTATTTGATTATTGTCATTATTGTTACTAGGGTTAACTCAATTTAATAATTGTATGGACAAAAAGCAACCAAATTTTTAAATTTTAAATTACAAAATAAGATTTAAAGTTTATTAAAATTATAATAAAAATTTTAAATAACGTGGAGTGGAGACAACCATATTTATTTTTATTATAAAATGTAGAATGAATTTATTACAATAAAAAAATTTTCTTTTTGTTTGAATTAATATGACACAATAAAATATTTTGCAATAAATCTCTCTTTTATTAATTTGGAATGAATTTATTTTTTTTAAAAGGTAAAATAAAAAAAAAATAGTTAGTACTTTATTACAACAATATTTAATTTGGTCATAAATGAATATAAAATTGGATATAATATACTGTTATTTAAATTAAAAATACCATTTTTGTTAAACCTTAGTGTGTAATATAAGCCAAAAAAAAAAAAAAAGAAAAAAAATTGATATATTTGAGGCAAAGACAAACTACCAAATATTCTTGTTTGTGCCTGTAAAATTAAAGTCAATATATGAATATGTTAATTTTTAAAAAGATGGGTCCCACAGAATTGACTGACTATTCTTTAACCACATGGATTTCAATTGTAAAGATTCTCTTATTTAAAATGGCATATTTTATTTAGAAAATTCATGGAGGATCAATAATTTTCAATAATTCATGCTTAATTTTCAATATTTGAATTTTAGTTTTCGAAGTTTTTATTGAAAATTTAAAAATATTTATAACAAACACCAAATAAAAGAGGTCTCCTTGTCAACTAAGTCATTATTGAAATAAAAAATTTCTAAGTCAAAAGAATTAAAAGCATATGAAATTTCAAGTTAATATACTATTCATAGTCTGATAAAAAAGAATAATTCATAAATATATAATTTTTGTGATGTATAAGATCAAACAAACAAATATTCCCACCTTACAAGATCTTGAGACATTTTTGTATTAAACAAAGGGTAAATGCGATTTAAATAAGAATAACACGAAAATTTCCTACATCTCACCCAATAAAGAAATCATATCATATTTAAATAAAAATGATCTTAAAAAATATAAAATTATAAATAAATTTAAAAGAACCACAATAAAGTGTACCTTATTCTCATGCGACTCACTCATGTAACCATTGTAATGAAGCTAGAAACAATTTTATGTTAAGTGACCTCCTGAGGAAAACATATGTAAAACGACTCAATAGTTTCTGCCCTTAGAAACAATTTGAATCAAGTAACATAGTCATGCCACAAAAGAACATAGAAGCTATTGAACACAAAATCTAAATTCTAAATCATAGTCACGAACAGAACATTAGAAAAACTATTTTATAACAACTTATTAATATCTAAACTAACTTATCCAGGATTAGAGGTTCAAACTGTTCGCGAAAAACCTAATATTTGTATGAATGTGATTAGACTTCTGCAAGAAAATTCTAAGCAACATACACACAATTATGATTGAACTTGTCACCCAAAAAATCAATTAAAAACAACAAATAATACATTTTTTTTCAGATTATATTTATGAACTTTGAATGCAATAGTCAGAGATATTTGTAAAGAAAAATTGGAAAAAGAAGTAAAAAAATGACCGACTTTGAAAGGGTCTATACAATAATATGTGATGGACGTTGTCAAGCAATTCACATAGCAATTTCTGTCCCATTTGTTTTACCTATTGACTTTTCAGTCTCCCTCTTTGAAATTTGGGACCATAAACTTTAATCAAATCTCCCGAATCACTTGGCCCTACCAACCCAACATGAACTATGACACTTTTGATTTTAAAATTTCTCTAATCATTTTAGTTTAAAATTAGTTTATAAATTTATAATTGTTGAAGGAAAGTTCCACATCGGATTTAGGAAATGATCATGAATTTATAATCAAAGAATACTCTCTCCATTAACATGAAATCTTTATATCATACCATTGTGGAGAGTCGTGTTCGTGTAACATGGTATCAAAGTCATGCCCTAAATTTAACTAGGTCAATAGAATCCTCAAATGTCAAACATATGCCTTCAAAAGAAAAGGGAGACGAGCCTCGATTAAGGAGAGGCATAGTTTGTTCGAGGGAGAAGGTGTTGAATGGAATCATACCATTGTGGAGAGTCGTGTTCGTCTAACCATTTTTAACATACACCCATGTAAACCCAACCAACTAATTTTATTCAAGGCCCTTCTTTTTGCCATTGTTTAAATGGGTAAATAGTAAATATTATGCAAATCTAGTATTAAAAGATTTCCATCTCTCAATAATATGGTTGAGTGAGTAATTTATCTATAAAGTTCAGTCAAATCCATATACAATAATAACCAAGCCAACGATACCTCGTTTAAACACTCCATAGTGATACCGTAGAGTATTTCTCCGCTTCGTAACATGTACATCCTCGATCGACTACAACACAAGACGTCAGCCTAAACACAGTTCAAACATTATGCAAACACTCAATAGTAATACCATATAATTTTTTTCCTTTGAAACATGTATTATCCTTGACCGACCACGATACAACACGTTAGCCTAAACCCAATTCAAACATTATGCAATATGGTGTACCGTGCAAGAACCAGATGACACAATTAACCCTATCGAATAGGAACTAATATTTCGACCAAGTTCAACTAGCAAAGCATCACCATCTAGTAAAAACTTCTAGCTGATTACTGACACTTCTCAACTCAACCAATAATTTAGAGTAACAAGGAGTTATCTCACATATTGTGCTTATTAGCAAAGAGTAATAAAGAACAAAAACTGGTCCCCAGAGCATTTTAACCGACAAGTCGGCCAACCAATATCACAAGAATAAAGACAATAAGTGGCAAAGTAATGTGGCAAAATACAAGCCAAGCATTCAAAACCAAACATTTAATGAATCAAAGCACAGGCCTAAATCAAGAAGAATCCACTTTTGAGTCTAAAGCTTAAGACAAAACTGTGGACTTTATTCAATGAACAGCCCCCAGCCACACATCTGTCCTTCCATTCAAAACAATTATAACAATAATTTAAAGTTCCATTAGGATTTGGTTATACTCATTTCTTTGGAAGAAAGGCCTTCATAATATGGTAGCTATGGTTGTCAACTACAACCACCCGACCCGACCCATGTAGGCCAGCAAAAGCACACACGACTTAAACCTTTTTGGAAAAAAAAACTAAAAATGACTTAGATTTATCCTACTCTCGAAATGTATTAATGTATTATTTTTAATGTATGTATAATACTATTCAGAATATTCAATACGTATCCAATAATTATCCAAGTTGTATGTTTTTTTTTTTTTTTGTATAATATGTTAGGAATCACAAACCTCCACAATAGTAGGATATTATCCACTTTGAGCATAAACTCTCATGGTTTTGCTTTGGATTTTCCCAAAATGCCTCATATCAATGGAGATACTATTCCTTACTTATAAACCCATGATCTTCCTCTTAATTAACCCACGTGAGACTACTCTCTCTCTCAATAATCATCAACATAATATGCATAGGTTGAATATTCAACTAAAGTATAGATAGTAAATAACTTCCTAATATTTAGAAGACAAGTCAAATAAATACTCAATACATATCCAACTAGTTTGTTTGCTTTACCTGCAGAAATTATGGTAGTGAAGACGAGCATCAGCACCCACGGCTTGATCCAATGATAGAGTCCAATACATCATAAAAGTCCCCAAATGTGATGACTCATAATTGTGGGCTTTCTATATAGAAACTTAATCAATTGCATAAAGCTTGGAAAGACGTGAGAACGGATCACTCATAGTCACAGAAGTGAACAAACAAATAAGTTACATTAAAGTAGATAGTCTAACCCATGTATAAGTTATAAACAATATTGAGAATTCACATTGAGATCATGGTAAAGATGAATAAACAACTTTTAAACCCCTATGTATCGCATGCTACATGGAAAATTCACGACTAGAAGATAAAGTTTTATGATCCATTGTCTAATGGGATTAGGTGATGTACCTCTCGAGTTGCAGGAAGTAGTTTAGATTGGATCAGAAAATGGAGAAACCAAACCATTCCACTATTTGTCCAACAAACCTCGAGGTCAGAGGAACAAGCAAACGAGCAATATTTGGCAGCATCGGGTAAGCATGTATTCCAAGTATGAACCAGTTGAAGCTCAAAAGAGCAACAGCATCCAAGGCAGGTTTATTCTTTATGGCCGTGAAAAACTCAGCAACGCTCTTTAATGAGATGCTAACCACAAACAAAAGAGCCATAACCAGGCACAAGTGAGACTCTTCAGCTTTCCATATAATCATTCCAACCAAAAGTGGCAATCTCTCTCTGTTCATCAAGAGTTTCGGCGACATCTTTATCATCTTCATCTTTTGATACTTCAGAACTAAGAGAGCGGGGACCAGATCTTAACCCAGATTCTAAAAGTTCGATCAATCTTGCTTTAGGTATATTATCGTCTTTCCAAATATCACTTTGAAAGAGGTCTTGAACAATGCTGCTGCCACTATAGATGGATGAGCATGATGAGATACCAAAGGTAATGTCGCTGTCAAGTCTGCCAGCATGTCTTACCCTTGATTTCTTGCAGTCGAAGATTTTCGTTTCTCAATTTATGCAGCTGTTGGATCAAATTACGCCTATTTATTTGAAGCAAGAGATCTAAACTAATATTAACATACCACACAACTTCAAAAAGCAAGAAGATATACTACAAGAAAAACTCAACAGTTCAGGTTATGACGTAACGCATTTATCACTGTCTTTCCTCTTCTCTACATAAGATAGCTAAAATTGATTTCCAGCCTTTACATAACTTTGGTGGAAAAACCTATTCAATTGTTAAGAGTATTACAAGAAGAATGGCGCATACTGTTATGGTAAGGGATTTTAACGATAAGTCCAGAAATACTTCAAAAACTACCTGTAGTCTAATTTAGCGGCAAACTCAGAGGACTAGTAAATAATTAGACATCCTATTCCACGAGTCAATACACATCACTAGTCTAAATTCACACCACAGAGGAATCATATGGCTGCAGCCTGCAGGAGCCTGCCTTTTCAGTAAATCTTGGAACAACCGAAATTTCAAAGGAACTCTGTAGTAATGGTGGCAATTTCTTAATAGTTTTCATGTACCTACCTTTATAATACAGAAAAGCTAACTAAATCTTCAGGTACTATGTGACCATTCAGAAAAATACATGTACCTTTTATTTAATGAGAATGCAAAAATGTTCCTTAAATTAAGTCTATGAATAACACAAATATTCCTTAAATTAAGTTCATCCCTTCAACACTACTCTCAAACTAAGGAATAGATATCATCTCTTCCCACTAACTCATGAAACATTGAGCTGTGAAGTCCTTTTGTTCATCTATTACCACTAACTCGTGAAGCTGTGAGGGCACATAATTAGTGCATACTATCCCTTTCCCAATTTTTTCTTGATAAAATCAGTCATTCTCCCATACCATCATGTCATTCTCTTTTGGATAAAACTTGAAAAACTGTATGAGTTATAACAACTGAATTCAGACTCATAATAAAACTCTTGTGTGATGGGGATAGTTTTTCAAGAGAGATATAATTTGATAGGGGCATAAGGGTCGTTTTGTGCATTCTTTAGTAGTTTTTCAGAAAGCTACTGGCCTATCATCTATTGGTACCTGTGTTGCATCTTCATTTCGGGTCGAATTGGATGTTTGGACTTGTATTAATTCTCAAATGGCTTTCCTTCTAACGTATACCTAAGAGAACACTGAATCTGGCAGTGGAGGTGGAATAAATGGTTCAGTTGATGACTCTACGATAGCAGGAGAGGACCCATGATTGGAATCAATATTACATGTGGACTCATGATTGGAATCAATTGTACGCGTAGACTTGGTAGTGGGAGTGGACTCAATAGTTGGTTCTACGTGCGGTTATTTAGTGAGTTAAATTGTCAAGAGTGAAATAAAAAACTAGAATGAACCCTTGAATAGGCAAATTGTGTTGTAAAAATAGGAACGGACGATTCCCTTGGCTTCATGCAATGTGCGTGTAATTACTTCACATATCACATCTGAGCAAGCTGCATTGTATATCTATAAAGTAAAATAAATAAATAAGTGAAATACATGGTTTGACGCACGCAAAGCTTTCCTGATGATTTTGTATGCCAGCTTCTCAACCTACTGAAGAAAAAAGAAACAAACAAAATTTTCCTTTCTTGGAATCAAGTTACATCTGTGTTTCATTGAACTCGAATATGTTGCCATGGAGGATAGGACAACAACACAGCAAACACTGTTGCAGGACCTTCTAATGGATTAAAGGTACATTCACATAATAACTTTGTGTCATTCTGTGTGTATGTGTGTGGGTGAGAAAGTCTCTATTTTCCGATATATTGTAAGGAGTGTCCTTGAGTTCTTCACAGATATATAAGTCTTCAGCTCAAAAAAAGTAAACCACGGTTTTGACGTCAAAGTTCAACTGTCTCCTATATACCATAGATTCCTCTGTCCACTTCTTATCAGAACTATGATAAGTCACTCTCAGTTTCAATCTTCCACAATGCAATTATGACATTTAGTGCAGGATCTAGTACAGCAGCTAGAGCTTAAAGAAGTTATGACAGGTCACTACCTCACTTTCTAAGTGTGAAATTTTGCCGGTCGCCTTTTCATGTATCATTTCAAGTTCATCCAACATCAATTCCACCACCTTCTGCTCTTTCATAGCAGCCTGAAAATGTTTTTGAAACTCCTTTCTTTCCCACAAAACATTTTCAAACTCAATTTCCAGAAATTGCAAATTTTGTTGCAACTGCACAAAATCAGTCACTATCAAGAAAAAAAAAATCTAACTCATAAATGACCAGAATAAGTCTAAGCAGCCTACTTGGTACTCCAATTACTTCATGAATAGTAGAGATCCCAAAAACCACCAACAGACAATACTGGAACAAAATCTAATTCATAGATGGGAACTTTCTGCTATAATCATACCAAAAATATATGAGACTGACAAAGAAAAGAAAAATGGATAAACCAATGCTTGAACAATAATTCTCCAGTTGACTGGTAATAATTGAAAAAAAGTTCAAATTATTGTTTCAATAACTCACGTTGCAAAGAACTCAATGGTTAGTTTCTTCATCCCTTTCCAAGTTCTGAAAACCTTATTGACATAATTTTTCTGCTATGAAGATTAAGGATTCCCAACTAAATTCCGATCGCTGGTTACAATTGTAATTATTTGATCTTTTCAAATTTTACCACTTCAATACCATATCCATTTATAGCTAGAAAACTTGTAAAAATGTGTCATGTAAGTGTACTTTGAGTACCCAGCTAACTGCTACACGCAAGCAAACGACAATCACCATAATGTTGCATATAAAAATTTAAGTCTAAAACGTCTACAGTAGGTTGAAGAATATTTTCTTAGAACATATTTTTCTCAATTGACGTATCTAGAACCAAAACAGAGAAAAGAAAGCCAAAGAAACACAGAAATCATAAGTGAACAAGAACATAAGACAAGCAGTAACAATAGGTCAAGAAGGCTAACCTGCCTTTCCCTCTGTAAAGCAACTACAATTCGTCCAAGAAGAGAGACGAACGCAATTATCCACATCGAAGTGGTCCAAAATATATTCAAGTGAAAACTGACCGAGGTCTTCAACAGCTCCAACCAAGTTTGAACAACAACAACAAAGGTTTTAAAGATAAATGAGCACGTACGTATGAAAAACGAGAAAGACCTCGTGACCAAGAATATTGTGATATTCCGAAACTCAGAAAGCAAGGCCATTGAACCCACCAGTACCACTACCACTACCTTTCTTGCTAAACTACATGCCAACAACTTTTCCTGAAGGCTGTAACTCTGCATAACAAACAAATCCCTTCAAGCAAACTGGACCCATGAAAGTCTATCAATTAAGCAGGTAAAAAATTAATACCAAATTTCCTCAAAAGCTTAGTTTGTGTACTAGACGCAACTATTTCCCAATCTGGCACAGAATCTCATGACAAGAACAAAAAGATAATCGACCATATTGTTAATCGAATCTCAAAACTTATAATAACATAAATGTTGTTCCCAACTTCAGAGTGCAACACTGGGGGCAGAGACAAAACTGCTCTATTTCAAAACAAAATTTATAGGGTTCTGAAGAGAATTTTTTACACCAGATTCTTTCTACAAAGCAACTCAAAATCTTCTTAAGAATAAGCAATTAATAACCATAATATTGATTATTTAACACGTACGAAATTGAATTCACAGAAAAAATAGCGACAGATATGAGTAAAGATTATTGGAAAAAAAAAAAAGAAACGTCCAACACATTTTCTCGTGATTATATCAGAGAAAGTGATCTATCGAGTGTCCCGTCCATCAATTTTCCCTTCCTTCTTCGTCTTCCACCTCTCAGATTTTCATACATCGCACACAAACCCAACGAACCTAAACAGAGTCCGATTGTTTCATCTTTAGACTAAAGACATCATTCCTAGATCATGATAGATCAAAAAACAATGCAAATCAAAAGAGTAAAGGAAATTAATGAAAGCGAGTTAATAATAGCGATACGAGGAAGCAAAAAGCTTACAGTTAAAGGAGAATGCAGGCGAATTAAAGCACGAGAGAATCGCAGCAAAAAGGCAATGCTAGAGAAAGAGAAACTCTGCATGCGAGAGAATTTTGATATTGAACGAGAAAATGGCAACTGGTAATGGAAGCAACTCCATGATTGACACGGACCAGAAGTGGTGATGAATCTTGGAGGGAAATTTAGCCATTCGCGGTTAGGTTAATTCCGATTGTTAGTGCCATTTATTTAATTAAAAAAAAAACAAAATAAAATGTCATTCCATCTCTTTTAACTTATTTTTAAATATTTAATTAAAAATTATAACCAACTTTTATAAATTTTTTGAAAAAATCTCTTTTAAATAAGAAACCTTTTTATAATATTTTAAAATTAATAATAAGTAAGAGGAGGATGTGCCAATTAGGGAAGGATTTTGGTGACAACACCTAAAGATATTAAAAGCGAGAATGCTGACGTTAGTAACGAGAAATCCTATGAAAAACACGATCGCCGGTTAGTGGAAGGCTTTTTGTGTTTAGTCAATCTACGCAGAGTGAATCGGTCCTTAAGGAACCCTCGAAAGGGTTGTCGTCCGATGAGTACACGAAAGTGATACAACTCAATATAGTTAGGAACTCATGAACGAACCGTATAAAGTTTTAATTTATTTAAACTCAACCATACCCACAAAAATCCATAATTTAACTCAAAATGTACGAGTTTAGTTGTATATTTATAAATTAATATGGGCTAGTCGACTACTCTAATTTGAATGCAACATAAACATAAACAAGAGCATAGACGATATTCTCGTCCGTATCTAGGTTGGTTGGGTTGGTGACTCGTGGAACCCACAAGTTCATAACCCAGCCCAATTTTTTAGTTGGGTTGGGTTTGTTTGTCGAGTCGTTATGTATTTATTTTTTTTAATTTCATAATAACCTTGTTTAAGATTGTTGGATGAAAGTCCCACGTCAGCTAGTTTAGAGATGAGTTTATAATCAAGGAATACTATCTACCTTGTTATAAGGCATTTTGGAGAAACTCAAAGTAAAACCATAAGAGTTTATGCTCACCGTAGATAATATCATACACTATTGTGGAGGAGTTATGTTCATCTAATATGGTATCAGAGTCACACCCCAAATCTAGCCGGGTCAATATTTGAAAAAAGTAAACTAAATTGAAAAAAAAAATCGAAAATATATATATATTTTTTTCTACTTCTTAATAGAAAATACATAGAAATAGAAGGGCAGGAATAAAAAAATAAATATAAAAACTTAGATATTATTTTGGAAAATAAAATAATAATAATAAAAAAGATACTAACAATAATCTGAGGTTTATACGTACTTATACTAGCCCGATCTTGACGAACGGCGGAGATTTGATTCTTTTAAAATTTCCAAATTAAAATTTTCATTTTTCTGCAAATTACTTATTCCTCGAAGAACAGGGAGCGGGAATGTAGCTTCCATTGCGCGGGTAAAACCTGAGATGGCAGTTCAAACGGCACCAAAACTTCAGCGGTCCAAGAACTCCCACTCTCCATCGAGTTCTCGAGCTTCCTTTCAGATCGAACTGCATCAGATTCCTCTTCAGCGACCAGCCTAGATGCTGCATCTGCGTTGGATTTAGCGGAATCGCCGATGATTCCACTAAGAAATGCAAATCCAGGTAACTCATCTTGTTCACTTTGAACGGTCGGTGAGCCACCAGTGATGCGATTTCTATGCCGTCGAAGATAAGGACGAAATCGGTATGTGAGAAGCTTGCGTGTGCTCTAGCATTTTGATTCTCGGCTCGGACGACGATCTTCATCTGGACTTCAAGCAAGCCGGTTCTGCTGCTTCGGATTCTGTCGAGATGTCCGTCGGTTACGCTGATTGTAGGCACCCTAGGGCGGATCGTCACATAGCCGATGAAGATGACGATGCCTGCGATTATCACTGCTAGGGCTATGGCAGCACAGATTATGCCGGCAATCCAAATCAGGGGATGAGTATGCCGCTTTAGGCTGGATAGGAAATTTGGTGGCATTTGAGATCGATGCAATTTCTCATAAACTGATTGCAATTGAGTGACACGAAAGAGAACAAAAAAAAGGCGAAGGTATATTTGAATCAGCAGCTGATCTCACTCTTAACCACTTTGTTGTGTTCCAGAGCTCAATTTTAGGCATGGCCGAGGAGAAACACTGAAGAAGGAATGCAAACTTATCAAAAAGTCGTTGCAATGGGCGGCGAAGGTTTAGGTATCTTCCTTTCCTTCTTTTAACGCATCTAAAAACTAAATAACTACTGTTAGAGCATATTTTGTTATCTGAGAATTTATCCAAAGCTTTGTCGAGTGATGGTTTCCTTCAATTACATCTGCAGAATTATTTATTGGATCCTTATTAATGCTAAAATCAACTATACTGATTAGATCGGAAACATATAGTATCAAATTTGATTTTATTTTTGTACTTCTGTTTTTAAGAACCGTAGTCATAACTTTTTCTTTGCTATGATACATTTTAGGAAAAATTATTGAGTATAGATTTTATTCAATATACATTTTTATGTTTGAATTTGTGTTTAGTTCTTATTTGGTCCTTAGATTTCAAAACTAAAGTTTCGATTTTAGTTTTCATTTAGTATTTTATGTTTCAAGTTTTACACCTTTACTCTTGAATTCTCATTGATGCTCACTTTTGGTCATCTACATTCATTTTCTATGAACTAATTCAAACAAACATCAAAACTTAGGATTAAAAGTAAGTATTCATAGTGAAAAACATACGGATAAAAATGTAAAATTCTAAAACCAAGAACTAAATGGAAATTATAACTCAAAACTGAAGGTAAGAATCTAAAATTTTGAAACTCAGGAATTAATGAGAGTTTAGGAACCAAAAAGTTATTTGGGCCAGGACTGTTTTCCAATTTTCCAATGAGGGCGTAGAAATACCTATTTTAAACGTACATATATTTGATTTCTTCTGTCAGTGGAATCATTTGAAGCTACTTTCATTTTTTTTTTGGTCCTAAGATTTTCAGAGATCCATTTTCACATTAATCTAGATGACTTCTTTGTACATTTAATTATCATTGGTATTTTTAAAAGTAACTTGTTTCATTACTTGAATGATACATGATAACTGGACCTATTATTTCAACTGAATTTCTCTCTTTTTTACATACTTTGCTTTAGAAAGTAAAATACCAAACTTATACTGTAATTTTCTAGCTGTTCCTCTTATTGCCCGTTACCACCAATTGGAATGCAGACACGGAGGATTTATCTTAAATATAAAGCCTCGCAGCTTTCAGGAGAATGGAAGGACATCTGAAGGCTACAACAGGTAATAGCTTTTAAATATCAGATGATTCTCTTTCAATTTAAATGATTTAAATTGTCTTCTTCTTTTTTTTTTTTTTTGGGGCTTATTTTTGAGTTTTCCCTCCAGATGGTAAAACGCATCTATTAAAAAAAAAGGTTTTTTCACCATTATAAGCCGTCTACTAGAAAGAGGTTTACATACCCTTATAAGTAATGCTTCGTTTCCCTCTTCAACCAATGTGAAATCTCACAATTCACTCTTTTGGGGTCTAATGTCCTCGTTGGCATACCAATCGATGTCTGACTCTAATATCATTTGTAACAGTTCAAGCCCACTGCTAGTAAATATTGTCATGCGTGGACTTTTATTTTTAGATTTTCCCTCAAAATTTTAAAACGGATTTATTAGGGAGAAATTTCTACACTCTTATAAGCAACGCCTCGTTCCTTTCTCCAATTAATGTGGTATGTGACGTAAACTTTAACAATAATTTCATTGCACTTTACTGCTACCTTCTCTAAGAATGAGGACAAGTCAAAAAGATGGGGCAAATGCATGTAATAGTTAAAAAAAAGAAGAGAAAAGAAAAAGAATCTGTTAAGGTAAAGTAGGTGAAATTGTCGAGGTCAAAATGATTCATGCAGAAGGGGTAATCTTGCTTGCCTCAAAATGTTCACTAATGATACCGAGAATAGATGTACAGTATTGGTGGCTATCATTAGAATGGAAGAGAGGGTAGCAATACAGAATTTTCGATCAAACACATCAAGAGGATGAGGAAAGCTCTTAGTGGTTAGGAATCATTACTCCATAAGAGGATGAGGAAAGCTCTTAGTGGTTAGGAATCATTACTCCATAAAATTATATAATATTGTCTAATTTGAGCGCATCATGGTTTTATTTTGAATTTTCTCAAAAATCTTCATAGGAGATGTATTACTTGTTTATAAATCCATAGTCATGTCAATGTGTGATTCCCTCCTAACAATCCTCTACAATCTTCTCCTCGAATAAAGTAAGGCTTGTGGAGCCCGCCTGTGGAGCCCTCGAACATCCTCCTCAATTAAGGCTCAATTCCTTCACTAGAATCCTCGAACAAAGTACATCATTTGTTCTACACTTGAATTACTTTTGACTACATTTTCGAACCTCACAATTTATTTGTTCGACATTTGAGAATTCTCTTGACATTGATTAAGTTAAAGACATGATTTTGATATCGTGTTGGAAATCACGATTCTCCACAATAGTATGATATTGTCCACTTTGAGCATAAACTCTCTTAGCTTTACTTTAAACTTTTTCAAAAGTGTTCGTACCAATCCACCATCTCCCATGAGTAAAGTGATCACTCTTCAGAATTGTATTAGTTAATTAAGAAATAATCAGTAAAGGGGAGATTATCATGTATGGTTGCAGCCCCGGTCGAGATGCAAAGGGGATCGTGGGGATAGGGCCAGCGGATGCGAAAATGGGGGGGGGGGGGGGATTTTTGGGGGGGNGAGGGTTTCTAAAACGAATCGTGGGGATGTGTCGGCTGGCTGAACGTTTCCTGGAAGCTTAGGAGAGTAGGTTACACGTGTTGTAGAAGGAACCGCGAAAAAGATGGTATGTTTGTCGTCTGCGACGAAGCCCAATTCGCGCGACCTGCCACGTCGAAGCAAATATTGAAGCTGGCAGGTCGTTTTGCCACCTTTTATTTCATTCAAAAAACGTCCCATTCCACGCCCTTTCTTGAAGCTTTTTTTTTCCCCCTCTTTTATTCTTATTTTTTTATTTATTTTCCCCCTCTTTTATCTTTTTCGGATTTTTATTTTATAAGATCAGTCCAAAATGATTTCAAATCTATTTCTGCTATTATCATCCAAAGC